TCTGCGATCTGTCCTCCAAGTCGCAGATCTTTTCCTCCAAATAGATTTGTTTTTTGTCTCCAATTTATTCTGGATGTCTTTCATATCTTTGTATTGAAAATTTCTTGCCTCTTCCTCATCCTTTAACTTTTGGATTCTTGAGATTATAGAAGATAGATTTGTCTTCAAATCAGAGAATTTCTCATTAATATCACTTTTTAGTTCCCAGAGAACGTCCTCCAAACTAGATTTTAGCAAGCTGGGAGTTACTGTATTGTTTTCCATCTCCTGTTCTGACCAATAATATGTAGATTGTATTGAGCTGTCTGTAATATTTTTTTCCTGTGACATCCAGCTTTTCTTGGGGGGAGAAAAAAACCTGACAACCTTTTTTTCTTGTTTTAATTAGCCAACTTGTTTTCTTGTGTGCGTTTGAAAGCAATAATAGAATAAGCTGGTTACTTTAAATATAAGCGGTATATAAGAGCATAAACTCCAATCCCCAATTTTCCAATAGGTAAGGAATGTAAGCTGTTCAGGCAGAAAAAAGCCAAGTCTTTGCTGCAAAGTGAAGCAAAATTATATTTTCTATTAGCAGACATGAGCCAGTGGGGTTAAGCTTTTATCAGTGCAGTTTTGTGTCTGCAAGTCTGGTTCTCCTTAAATGTTGAAATAAATCATGCCTATTAAAGAGCCTCACAGTTTCCTTTTAAATTTATTTCTGTTCTTTTTTTCCTTTTTTTTTCTTTTCCTCCATGTCTTCTTCTCTAAAATCTTTCCTTCCTGTTTTTTTTTTTTTTTTTACAATTTAATGGATATTAATCATTAATATCTCCCCAGCCCCTAAACAGCACAAAATAAATAAGCTTTAAATGGCTGTTACCTTAATGCAGCAATAGAAATCGAGGCTTAGAGATTCAGGATTACCCAAATTTAAGGATAATTTCTGTACGAATTGTCTTGACCCACTCTTTGAACTTGCCTCCGTACTCCACCGAGACTTTAATCTTTGCTGCGCAATTGCAGCTCCTGGCTTCTGCTTACAGCAGCTCCGTCTGGTGTCTAACATTGGCTCCGTCTGTGAAGTCAGTTGAATTTTCTCCTGCTTCAGGCTTATACCTGCTTCTGGCTTCCGCACTCTCTCTTCTTACTACACCGTCTACTTAGTTACAGCTCACAAACTCCGTGCTTCGTCCCCTCGCCGCTCCTCTCATTTCTCTTGTGGTAGCGAGTCACCTCCCCTCCCCATGTACACCTCCTAATCTCTCCTAGAGAATGCTTTTATAAGAGCCCTAATAATCCATAAAAACCCTAATAACTCTACCTCTCAGTAACTAAAATGGGAATGCTGTACACCCACACGCTCCCTGCCCTGAACCTTTCACTTTTCTGTCCCTCTGATCTACATTTTAAAAAATATAAGACAGCTCTCTTTTTATAGCGCTCCACTATTTTTTACAAGTTGTTCACTTAGAATATATCTTATATTGTTTGAAAGTTGCTGAGGGAAGGAAGGTTATCCTGCACAAGTGTTTTTAGAGCTGCTGCACTTTTGTTTAAAATACTTTTAAAATGCTTTTTACACACTACCTTCTATTAGATTTTATCTTTTAAACTTTTTTCAAATGCCTATAAAAATACAAAAACTGATGAAGCGTGGCTCAATGGTAGAGAACTAT